AGAAAATTAACTCTATTCCAGCCAAAACCAGGACACAGCTGTACATATTTTCTTTGTATTTTATAACATGTCTGTAGTTTCAGCCTATGCTCTCCCTGCATTCCAGGAAAGTTGAGATTGCACATGGGCATTCTCACTCCGTATCACTGATTGCCATCAAGTAACATTTGCCAGTGACTATCAAGAGATGTTATTTACCTAAAAATTTAGTCACTATGTCCCATTCCATTCATGACATGATACTACAGTATTTTATGAATCAATGTTTTAACAGTGACATTGGCACAATCCATAATATGCTTTTGGAAGAGGATTTGTTTACAGAACATGGGAAAAAAAAATTGTTCAAAGAAATGTAGTGGGATTTGAATAAACCTAAAATGGTGAGGCTTAACAGAAAGTAACCTTGTTTTTTCTACAGAATGCTGCATTCACATACCAAGTACTCAAAAGCAATTCATGTTGTTGCTTTTTAGAAATAATTTTTGACTTGTCCTCCAAAATTTTCTCCAATTTGCTGGCCATACAAGAGAAGATAACTAGTTCAAACCATTATGTTTCTACTGTTTAAGCTGTGTTTGGTTTTGTTTTTCAGTGTCATTCTTTGTGGTCAGCCTGGGTGGGACACTGGTTGGGATTTTCTTTGCATTCCTGCTCTCATTGGTCAGCCGTTTCACCAAGCACGTGAGAATCATTGAACCTGGATTTGTGTTTATCATTTCGTACCTGTCCTACCTCACAGCAGAGATGCTTTCTCTTTCTGCTATCCTTGCGTAAGTCTCTTTTTATTACTGCCTGTGAAGGGGTGAGAAGGGAATATGTTTTTTAAAAACATTAAAAAGAAAGACCTAAATTATATAGGACAGCTATAGAATATGACACTCATGAAGCTTATGGTGAACATTACTATCTTCACACTGCACTCTATTATAGTTTGCAAATACTGTCATTCAGCCTTGAAAAGGAACACAAGATTTCCAGGATCTGCTGTGCAACATGAGAACTTCCTTTGCAAAATACAGACTTGTCTCTTTCCTCTTTGTGATTAATAATACTTCAATAACTAACAGTTGTCCATTTGTATTGACAGCTTTTCCTATAATTTGTAACTAAACCAATATTTTTCTAAGACATTATGTGAATGTCCATTATTTGCTGCTCTCAATGTCTTGACTGGCCTGTTAAAGTTTGCCTAAATCTTGCCTGTTTTGGCTTCAGTACCTCTGTGGTCTTTCTTTTAGTATCTATTGAATCCTGGCATACCTTTCTTCTCAGTTTTGCATGTCAGTTTGTAGATGTGACAGTGAGTATATTCAAGATCTGAAAATCTTACTGCAAACAGATCACTAGTTTAAGATTATGTCTAATGTAAACAAGATTTAAAATTTTGCATGTAAACCAGTATGGCAATCTGAAGATAATTAAGGTCTGTTATGATCTAATGAAATGTTGTCTTCAGACCTCTTGGGGTCATCTCAGGTGGAATGTTTGAGATATGCTTTTCACCTAGATTAGACTCCACAATGAATCCTAAGTGTATTTTTTCTTAGGAATTAATGGTGGGGTTTTATCACTATGTGAGACAGATGGAGATAATATTAAATGTTACAATGAATATTTTCTGAACAATTGCTTCTTTTTTTTTTTCTAGGATAACTTTCTGTGGCATCTGCTGTCAGAAATATGTCAAGGCTAACATATCTGAACAATCTTCTACAACTGTAAGATATACCATGAAAATGATGGCCAGTGGAGCAGAAACCATTATCTTCATGTTCCTGGGAATTTCAGCTGTAAATCCAGATATCTGGACTTGGAATACAGCTTTTATTCTGTTGACTCTGGTCTTCATCTCAGTATATAGAGTTATTGGTAAGGGGATGACCTTCTTTCAGTCCTTGCATTGTATTGTTGATGCAATCACATATTCTTTTGCCAAAACAAAACAAACAAACAAACAAACAAAAAATTTCAGTTCTAGACTTGTTCCTTTTAAAATATTCCATTTATTTTAGTTCAATTTATGGTTGGGGTTGGGTTAGGAGGGTAGATCTCTACAGTAAGTTTCATCATATGCTGAAATACAGAAGGATTTCACTTTTGATGACATGTGAGGATATGACTAGCCCAGCGGTTAACATGAATTACCCTGTGGCTAACCTTTGTTGACCCAGCACATGCTATTGGCAAAATCTCCTAGTGGACTTTGTCCTTTAGCTTGCAGCCAACCAAAAGATGTGAGTCCTGTCAGCCATCTCTTTCCTTCAGCTCTTTCAATTTGGTAATAAAGAGATTGTCTTAAGCTAATTTTATGGTTGACTTCAGGTTTGAGACACACAGTGATGTAAGACCATACACAATTACACTGCAGGTTCTCTGGCTTAAGAAATAATTCTCAGGGACTGGTGAAAAACTGAGTAAATAAGATTGTGGTAGGTAGGGATTATCTACTGTCAATTTACTGGGCTTGTATAAGTTTGCAAACATTTCAAAATACCAATGACCATTTGCCCAACTATGTAGTTCTACTATTTAATCACTGTTTTGTCAAATAGCAAAGGGGCTAAAATCACAAAAAAGGCATAGAATGAAGTACTTCTAGAGAGTAACATACATAGTGATTTGGTATATGTACTTACATCTGGGTTTATTTGCCTGTTTGTCTTGAATTAAATTCAAATAAAAGGTACCGGCATCTATCTAGCTGGCAGTTTTCCTAAACTCTTTATTCTTATTCTGTCTAGATTCCTGGGCTGAATGAAGGGCCTAGCCCTATGTCCTCCTTTCGAAATATTCTGTAACCACTGTTCATTTAGTCACCTCTCTGTAACCACTGATGTGTGTGAGGTGTTTAAACAAGTTTTCAGTATCTTGACTTTGTCACTTGTATTCCTGGAATGAGTGGTTAACAAAGCTGTAATAAGTGTGATCAGTAACTAAATAGTAAATATTCAGCAATAACAATATGCATCCATTAAAGTAATTGAGCTTAGACATTGATAAATTACTAAAGACCTGATAATATTGGGCCTTACGTAACAGAGCTCTCATACCCTTGGAGGAGTGAGATTGGTGACATGAATTAATTTTCAAGATCTCTTCCACCAGAGGCCTTGCTTAC